AATTTTGACTTTTTGGGTTGACTAACGGTCAACTGGATGGAATCCGTCCATTTGGACCTCCGGCGCATATTTTTTAAAGGTTAGGGTAAAACGCGCAAAAATCTGAAAGGTTTGGGACCGTAGCTGCAATTATCCCTAGATTTGTTTTCTGCTTTGCTTTTTTGGGTCCTCCCCCATGAATCGAGAAAAAGGCTGAAATTTTCTAAATACTTCTAGCTGAGAAGACTTACACCAGACTTTATTAGCTTATAAACGTCCGGTCCAGGGACTGCTTTTGATTTGATAGTCCACTTTTATGAACTAACGGAGCTGGAACCGACATTAGAACTAGAGGATATTATTGTTACAATTTGTTGATTATTCAAATCGATGTGGTAATTTTAGATCAATTTAGGGCCCGTTAAAAGTCAAAAGAGCTTTTAAGACACACAAATTGCTTTTGGATCCTTAGAGAAACTTAAACAAAGTAATAATGTTATTGTTGGACAAAAAAACTTGTGTATATTTGCTGGAAATTTGCTTAGTTAGTATTGTAGAGAATTGAATTAGTTTGGTTCATTTCGTTGGATCTTTTCTTCCTTGTATAGGCTACAAAATTAGAGTTTACTGCCCTTGTCCTATGAAGCTACAATGTGTGATCTAGTGATGCATGATACTGCCCTGTTTGGAGGGTTTTCATTGACTGAGGAATTTGGCACAGCTCACCACTAAAGTGACTTCAACGATAAAACAATAGGTGATGTGATCCAGTCTAGTAACAATTGTATTATTTAGTTATATCTCTATCTTAAAGTAGTCTTGTTCTACAAACACTTGACTAATAAAGTCCGCATATTTCTTAATAAGTCACTACGATGATAGCTCATCATGATGCCTTACTCGTAACCTGCTACCTTGGTCATCATTGCTTTCCCTTGATTGGAGGCGATACGCAATGTTGACATCATGGAGGACAAGTCTTCGCTGTTGATTGGTCACAAAGTGGTGATGACATCATGGAGAACATCCCTCCCATTTAATTATTATTAGAATTCGGGTGTGAGCCGAAATCTTTGTTGAA